GAGACAGGGTCTCACTGAGTTGCTTAGTGCCTTGCTGTTGCTGAGGCTGGCTTTGAACTCACGATCCTCCTGCCTCAGCCTCCCAAGCTCCTGGGATTACAAGCGAGTGCCACCGTGCCCAGCTTCTTTCCCAGGTCATTGATTCTAGGGGAAGTTAGTTTCCGTGTGAGGAGTGACCTTATTTAGAGGCCTGTGTAAGAAGGAGTAGCAGTCTGGCCAACTGCCAGCAAGGAACAGAGTGGGCTGGGAGGAGGATCCTGCAGCGCCAGTCGAGCCTTCAGATGAATACAACCCACCGCTGACACTTGACAGCAGTGTCAGGAGTGATTCTGAGCCAGCCCCCCCCAGTCAATCGACTTGTGGGTTTTTGACCCTTGAAATCATGTGAGATTAATAAATACTGGTTGTTTTAAGCTGCTAATTTTTTTTGGGGGGGGGTAATTTTTTACTCAACAACAGATGACTACTGCAGTGCTACACTGTCACATTCAATTCTCACAATTCCGATGGATTGGAGTTTGTTTCTCTCCCTTCTGGATGGAAAAAACAAAGCTCAGCAGAGTGGAGTGACACCTAATAAGTGGCAGAGCTGGGATTTGCCCTCCTGTCTCTTGGTTTCCAAAGCAGAAGGCACCTGTTTTATCAGCTGGGATGTCCCAGCATGAAGGTTGAAGAAATAGGACATGAAAAAGTGGTCTCTTTCTCTCATGCGTCCACCCCCCTCCTTTTTTCCATTCCAACCAGATTAGTTAGCTGCTACTCTATCTATCCATCGTGTAGTGATTTGGGGTCAAGCTGGCTTACCGCAAACAACATGGGAAATTGAAAGGGGGATGGATACCTAAGCTCTTGAGTGACCTTGGACAGGTTCCTACACTTTTTGGACCTTAGTTTCTTTACCTAATCCATAGGAAGAATAATCTCTCCAGGGGGCCAAGAGAAGTCTTGTAAACATGGGGAGGTTTGCTTTGAGGAAGGAGCAGCCCTGACCCGGGCTCTCTGCCCAGCACATCTACGTCTGTATAAGTGGTGAGGCACCTTTTCCTCTCCACCTGCATCCAGGTTCAGGGAATAGAGGCACTGGGGGTCTGTCCTGACCGGCTTCTTGAGCCTCACCCTCACCACGCCCTCTCTCTCAGACCAGGCTGCAGCCCTACAGCACCAGTGGAAATTTCCCCAGGCTGCCAGGAGCTTTCTGTGTGTTGAGACTTTATCTCTGCCGYGTCTTTGGTCTAGACACCCTTCCCACCTTCTCCACTGGGCGCGCTCCTTCTCAGCTTTCAAGACTCAGCGTAGATGTCCCACTTCCAGAAAGCTGCTCCTGACCTGGATCAAAGCCTCCYACTTCTGTGGATCATTGCTCCAGTCTCCTGCCTGAGTTCCTGGCTTCTAGCTTCTCTCTTCCACTCAAAGCCCCCACAGTGCCCCCAGCGCCTTTCTAAAATACAAATCTTTGTCTTGTCACTCCCTGCTTAAAATAACCCGTCAATGGAATAATCCATCAATCAATGCTTCAAGGGCTCCTCCTTGCCCTCAGGAAAGCATCCAAAGCCTTCGGCTGGACCTCAAGGCTTGGTCCCTGCTGCCTCTTGGCTCTTTCCTGATTGTGCTGCTCAAGCAGTACACGCCAGCCGCAATGCTCTTGCCACCATATTCCAGACATATTGCTCTGTCTTTGCTCATCCCTGTTGTTTCTTCTGTCTACCCCCATCTTCTCCAGCTGGGGAAGCCCTGCTGAATCTTTAGGGTCAGTCCTGCTATAACCTCCTCCAGGAAGTCTTCCCGGTTGCACCCAGGGAGAGCCACGGTTTCCTCTTCTCCCCTTTCCTGTGTAACTGCTTGTGCCTTTGTTACTATTTGTCAGCTGTCTGCTTCCAGGAGGAGTTTCCCGAGAATCAACTCTATCTGACACATGGTTGTGTCCCAGCAGAGGGGCACAGAGCTGACACGCAGGTCGTGCTGGCTGGTTGGGGAGGCGAATGAATGAACGGATCCATCCTTGAATCACCACTCCTCAGCCAGTCTCAGAACTTGTGCTTCCCAGGGCAAACCCACTTTATAGCCAAAGGGGAAGGAGAAGGAAGGGACTGAGCTGGAAGGGAGAAAGAAAATCAATAAAAATGTAAATCTAGTGGAGAAAAGCTGTCCCAAGCTGGCTGTGGCAAGAGATAAGACTGGGAAGGCTGAGCCCTGGCTGACAGCGGAGGAGAGATTAGGGGACAAGCAGAGCTGTGGCCAGGGCAGGGCAAAGGGAGTGTGCCTCCTCCCCGTCTCCTCCACCCCCTCCCACTCTCTGCTTTGTGGGCTCATTAAATCCTTCCAGGCGCAGGGGAAGGGGAGGAGTCTGACAACCCCGGTCATCAGGTGCCCCTCCTGGGAGCCRGAGGAGCATTATTTTATCTGGTTTGCACATTCTGTGGGGCCAGACATCCTGATCAACCTTACTTTGCAGGTGAAAAAAACTGAGTGCAGAGGAGTTGTCATTTGTTCAAGTCACTCCAGGAGACTAAGGTCTGCACCTAAATCTGACTGTCTTTACAACTCTCATCTTCGCATTCCATGAAGGGTCTGGACCTGAGACCCTGGATTTGCAGGGGTCTCACTCAACCTCTGAAATTGCACATGCAATTGTATTTGTTTGTATGTGTGTGTGTGTGTGTGTGTGTGTGTGTTTTAATTATGAAGAGTTTATGTCTTTAATCAGATCCCAAAGGTGATTGCTACCTGTTCCCCTTCCCCGACCCACCCATTGCCTATCCTATGCCTCTCTGGAGGTGGTGACTTTGAACTGGGCCTAGAAGGTTGGGTAGGAGTTCATGAAGCAGGGACAGAGACAAGCAGAGGGGTAGGGGTGGAGCAGGCCGAGTGGCCAAGCAGCACGGTCAGGGGAAGAATTCCACACATCCAGGCCTTGGAAGGGCTGCTYTCTCCTCACTCATTAGTGTGCCAATCATGATTCCTGGCTCCCAGCTCCTGAGTGGCGTCTGCCTGATTTGGAACTTCCAGGCATACATGTGCAAGTAAAGGAACTCGGGGCCGGGAGTCAGGACGTCAGTCCCAGTCCAGTCTTCTGCTGGATTTTCCCACCAGTAGACTCCAACAGTAAGACTTAATGTCCTCTYCTCCCACTCCGGGAGCAGGGACAGGAGCGTGAGCAAATACTGTGGCTCTTTTTTAAAAATATTTTTTAGGTTTATTTTTTAGTTTTAGGTAGACACAATATCTTTATTTTATTTTTATGTGGTGCTGAGGATTGAACCCATGCATGCTAGGCAAGCACTTTACCACYGAGCCACAACCCCAGCCCATACTGTGGCTCCTCATTGGCCACAGACTATACTGGGGAGGACTGATCCCTAAGGGACCTCCAGTCCTTCTCTGCTCCATCCCTTGGTTCTTGGTCCCATGTGCCCCTTTCAGTGACTCCTGAGCCTCTTCACCCTTACCAGTCTGGAAGACTTCAACCATAGGGACAAGAGTCATCTCCTCCAGCTCCAGTTCAACGCAGAGTTGGGCTCCCTGTGAGGTTCATGAATTTAGGGCAYAAAAACCTTTCCCCAGGTCCAGGTCATGCCTCACCAATGGCTCATATTGTCATATTTTTGTGAAATTTACACAGGTAAGACACTCTGACCCCAATCCAGGTTGCAAATTTCTTTCCACTCCAATGTCCCTGTGTCTCAATGACACAAGGGACCATTGACATTTTTGGGATCTGGCCAAGGGGGAGTCATGTTGGGGGTAGATTGAATTCGGGTCCTTTGGAATATGTTTATGTGGATCTCAGATAGTTCTGTGTACAGGTAAATCACTGTAGCCATCTCTGCATAAGAATGGCTTCTAAGAATAACCCTACCAATTGTCCACCTCACTTGGCAATATGACATTAAGATGTCATATCATGGTATAAATGTGTTTTGTTTCTTGTGACTTGAAAATATATGGGGAGAGGAGGAGAAATGGCAGATACAAGGTTTGAAATGTGCAAAGCCAGAAGCTGGTCTGTGGAAATGTATTATTTTAGACGTATGCATGACAGTTAGTTAATAACTATTTTTTCTGAATCGTGTGTAGAATTTTTTTTTCTCATTCTGGGTAAATATTCACTTTCTTACCTAATTTTGTTCAGGTTCAGCATCCCGAATCCAAAAATCCAAAAGCTGAAATGTCCCCAAATTCGAAGCTTTCTGAGAGCTAATGTAGTAGTACGAGTGGAAAGGTCCATACCTGACCTTAGATCATGGGTTCCCATCAAAACACAGGCTAAGTGGGTACAGTGGGGCACACCTGTAATCCCAGCAACTCTGGAGCCTGAGGCAGCAGGATCATCAGTTCAAGGCCAATCCCAGAAAAAATTTAGCAAGGCCCTCAGCAACTTAGAGAAACCCTGTCTCAAAATGAAAAACAAAAAGACCTGGGGATGTGTCACTGAGACACATTGGTGAGGTCATGCCTCACTAATGGTTAAGTGCCCCTGAGTTCAATTCATGGTACAAAAACCAAACCAAACCAAAAACAAAAAAAACCAAACTACCCTGCAGGCTATGTAGATGAAGTGTCTATGAAACAAAAATGAATTTTATGTTTAAATTAGGATCCCATCCCTAAGATATCTCATTATGTATATGCAAATATTACAAAATCTGAAAACAATCCAAAATCTGAAAGACTTCTGGTCTCAAGCATTTTGGATAAGGGATCCTCAACCTGTATTCATAATTTTGAGCTCTTTTTATTAAAGAGGTCTCCCCAAATTGTATTAGCTTCAGTACCCAAAGATCTGGATGCAACCCTGATTCCACTCTATTTTTTCTGTGTGGTCTTGGGCGAGTCGCTTATCCTTTCTGAGCCAGTTTCTTCCTCTGGAAAATGCGAATAACAATGTGGATAGGTGAGGACTTGCACAGCCTCATGACTTTATTTGAATCATTTCTGAAACCATTACTAGAGGATATAACCCAGCCAAAYGGAAATTAGACCAGAATATAAAGAGAGAGAAAGATGCAATATACCAGAAATAATGGTGCGCACTGAACCTAGTCAAACTTAAATCTAAATAACTGGAAATAATGTGGTTGTTGCAGAACTCTAATGCAGTTTATACGAAGGGATTTTTGTAATAAAAGAGACATTATGCATGAACAAATTTAATAATAAGCTGTATCTATAATTTCAGATTATTTCTGTGAAATTTGGGCAACAGGAGRGAAGGAGAAGAAATATAAACATACTAAAGGCCTCATCTGGTTGGAGGAGACTTTGAAATTATTGGCATTGATAAATGCAGGTCCTGCTATTTGTTAAACATTTACAGTCAATCAGTAGAATAAAGCAGGCCTGAGAACATCTATCCTTCCTTCTTCTCCTTTCTCATGGGAAGGCCCCACGTGTTCCCAACCCCAGCTTCTCCCCAGCCCCCTGCCCAGGGCTGGGCATCCAGGGRTGTGGGAGTTTCTGCCTCCCCAGCAGCAGGTCCCAGCCAGGTCAGGGATGTGGTGGCAACAGAGGGTCTGGGAGCAGATCAGGAGACCTTTCTTCCTCCTGGGAAATATGCAGGCCAGATAAGCCAGGCCAGAAACCCACGCAGGCCTGATAAAGCAAAGGATCCCGTGGTTCAGACCCGAGCGCTGCAGGGTAGCTGTGTGCAGAGCTGGGCACTACTACTCCTAGGGTGACAGGTCCCGTGTCACACTGATCCAGGCATCCCAGAGAACCAGATGCTGCCCTTGACGTGTCACTGAATCAGACATGGTACAACCTCGTGATACAGACTCGGGAGCAAGGCARGAAATGGGAGGAACTAGGATTCTATTCACAAAAGTCACAAAAGTGGCCCCTGGTCAATGTGTGAGACCTCCGCCATGCAGAAAGAGCTGTGAGCAGGACTGAGTATGTGCTGGAAGTTAGAATGTACCCACATGTGGGGAGGGGTCTCCCTCTGCACACCAGGGCCCCTGGGCCAAGGGCTAAGCCTCACCCCTAAACRGTGGCCCCCTGAGGATAAGGGCTGGAACTTCCTGAGCCAGAGAGTGAGTCTCCCCCTCAGCTAAGGCTCCCTTCCCCTCCCCAGGCCCAGTGGCCCTGAGTGAGGCCAGCTTCCTCCTCCCCACGGGGCTTCCCTTCGAGGCCAGCACCACTCTTGGCCTCCAGGGGGCGCCAAGTGGACACGTCTTGAAGGTGGCCTGGGGCTGGGGAGACCTGAGTTCATTTGACCACACAGATGGTCAGAGCCAAATGAGCCTGGAAGCTGGGAAGCTCATTCCCACCTGACAGAGGAGATGCTTGGGACTCAAGATGCTGGGCTGTGGCCTGGTGTGGAGGGCAGCTTGGACTACTGTGGTCCATTTCCCTCCCCTCAGGCACAGGAGAGATATGCAATCTTTCCACCCAGGAAAGTTTGGTTCCAGGTCAGCTGTCTGGCAGGGGAAGGAACAGGGAAGACCCTCTTGCTTTAGAAGTGGCCAACACAGCAAACCCCCCAAATAACTCCTTGGTTCCAATAAGCAAAAGCCCAGAGTGGGCCGGTAGCTTATCCAAAGTCACACAGCAATTTAGGGAAGGAGCTGGAATTGAAACATAGTGCTCCTGACACCCAATCTTGGCCAAAGGACTCAGAGGAGGTACCTCTGTTGACCATCACTCATGGACAGGTGAGGCCAGGGACAGCTCACACACTGGAATCCTCTGGCTGCTTCTTTGGCCCTGACATCAACCGTTGCTGCTCTAGGCCAGGGCTGGATGTGGTCGATTTGTGCCCTGCCTCTTTGCTCTGCTGCCTCAGGATGGCCAAAACCAAGGCAAAGCAGACCAGGGAGCCCGTTTTGAAGAAGAACTGGAGTCCAATGAACCTGGGGAGAAACAAGGGACTCTTGGACTCAGGAGCCCCAGGTCCAGGGCTCAGACGTCCTCGGGCTGGGGCTGAGTGGAGTCAGCTGATACCACTCATGGTGCCATAGGAGACCTTGAGGCTGGGGGTGGGGGGCACTGACTCCCAGGGGGCCCTACCCTGGAGGAGGCAGGGAGGCTCTGCAGAGGGAGCCTTTGGCGGGGCAGAAGCCAGCAGGTCCTCCCCACATCCACCCTAGACCAGAGGCCTTGGAGCCTTCAGGTTGCTTTAAGCCCCCATTGTACAGATGGGTAGACCGAGCCCCAGTGAAGGCAGACAGGGCTTTTCCCCAACCCCACCCTCATCTCTCTTACAGTTGGGCAGCTACTGATTCTCCTCGTCTATATAAGAAGGAACGGTGTCCCGCACCCAGGACTGGGGAGTTTGCACTGGACATTTTAATGGGACCTCCACTCTCTGCTGGTGTCCTGCCTGGGATTCTGAGGGTCTTCCCAGCGCCTTACCCACGTCCCCTGGCCCAAGTCTCACCGGTTCCGGAGCAGGTCATTGTCATAGTAGCGGCAAACAGCTCGACGCCCACAGCTCAGGGCCCAGTGCACACAGGTGGTATCAATAGCGCTGCCGTGGATCACAGGGCTGGGCATCCAGGCTAGGGGAGGACGTGCTCAGGGGACAGTAGAGATCCAGCATTCCCAGGCCCCTCACAATCTTTCAGGGGCTCTGGGCCATGGTGGGGGCCTCTAACCCACCCCTTTGCTATGAATCAGAGGAAGCCCCCATCAGACTGGCCTCTACTTGCATCTGGGTTGGGTCTGCTGCCCCCATGCACCTGTGCCCCTGCAGTCTGGCACACAGGGGACATCTGGGTCCCTATCACCACCACCAAAGGGCCCAAGCTGGCTCTTTACCCAGGACTCTCAGGAGCATGAACTGGATCCCCACAGCCAAAGTCTTGTCTTCTTTCTTCACTCCCCTAACAAGCAGGGACACGGCAACGTGAGGGCCAGCAGCTGAATGAAGGTCACCATGCCCTTCTCTGYCACCACCCAGGCCAGCCCCCTGCCTGCCTCCTGGATCCCTGTGTCTTCTAATATCTATGAGGGGCTTCATTCCTTTCTAATTTTCTACAAAGTAGATAGTGAATAAAATAATCCCAACAGAAGGAGGAGTTGGAATGATCTTGCTCCAAGGTCTCCTCATCCCAGCCTCTACCCTGGGGGACCTCGACTTTGGACTCAGGTGACAATCTGTCAGGCCTGGAGGGCACTGTCAGGACAAAGGCCAGGAAGATCTTGGACCAAGAGGCAGTACTGGGCACGGGCTGGGTCTGTGATGGACGCTATCTGCTTGTGACCTTGGCGGGGCCTCAGGGTCATGGGCCTCACTTTTGCAGTTTGGTCTCCTGGGTGCAGCCCTTGTGGCTCACCCACTGTGGTCAGGGTCAAGTGGAGTCCACCTCCTCCTTACTGAGTGATGCCTCACTTGGGRGAGGCCAGGCCAGGGCCTTGGGGGCAGCATCCCCTCCCCTGGTGCGAGGAGGGGCCTGGCTCTGCTGGGACCCCAGTCCTACTCCCCACCCCACACACTTTCTGTAGAACTGGGGCCAGTCCCTGAGCTTCCCACTGTGGCGAGGGGCCTCTTGGTACACCCCCCGCCCTGCCTCGGCCTTCACCTTAGAATGAGCATGAAGGAGGGGGTGTGGGTGAGGCTGGCCAGCGCCGCCCCCAGGCTGACCAGGAGAATGAAGGGCAGCACCAGGTGGCTGCAGGCCGAATCGCAGGAGCCTGCAAGCACCGGACCACGCCCGCTCACGCAGCTGCAGTTGGTGTAGAGAACCTGGGTGGGAGAAGGGGGAGTGGAGTCTTCAGAGCCTCCAAGGGCAGCGGCTGGCTGAGGGGCTGAGGCTGGGGGAGGTGCCCCAGAGGCCCAAGGCCCACAGCCAGCTGGGCTGGCGCTGGCCGGAGTTGGGCCTCTGGTCCCTTAGCAGAGTGCAGATGGCTGGAGGAACCACGCAGGTGCCTGGACAGACTGGGCAGGGCCTGGGCTGTGGCTACTGGCAGCGAGAGAGAAGCACAGAAAGAAAGGGGGAGGGACTGGGAATAGCAGCAGCCCCAGAGATGCACCCATCGCAGGGAACCGCCCTGGAGCGGAGCCGGGTGTCTGACCACAGCCTGCGTTCACACTCCCTGGGAGCCTGGGGACCTCCAGCCAAGGGCTCTATAAGAAGTGGTCTGGCTGCAGTGAACTTGGGCACCTGATAGGAGCAGAGCCAAGCCAGGAGGCTGGACTTTTCTTTTCTTCCCATCAGATCAGCATTTCTTGATGRGTGTGTCCAGAGTTGCAGGTGGGCACAGGTGTATAGGGGTGGGTCCTGTCCACTCTCAGGGCAGCCACGCTGCCCTCTGCCTCTCTCCTCAGCCATGGCAGCCTCAGACACAGCCCTGTGTGAGCAGGCTGGGGAGTCCTGAGGTGGAACCTGGCTGGGGGGCCTGGAGGTATTTGAAGCCCAGCAGAGATGGAGMTGAGGGTGCTGTACTAAGGATACCCAGGAGGCTGCTGGGAGGGGGAACTGGTGGGGTACAGGAGAAGGGCCCCATTGTGGGTCAGGGTTGGATGAGTAAAGGAGTTTTGATTTGAGATTATTTAGGAGGTAAAATTCAAGAAAGGTCCACGTGCATGTGCGAGAGAGAGAGAGAGAGAGAGAGAGAGAGAGAGAGAGAGAGAGAGAGAAAGGGACTTCAGCTTGGGTAACTCTCGGATGCTCTTTCCATTGTCCTGCAGAGCTCATGTGCAGGACAGGGCTGTGCTGCCACATGTGTGTGACCTCCTAAGTCCACACCATGTCATACTTCAGGGAAGGTGGTCTTAGCTCTTTGCTACTGGCTGAACAGCCCTCTGACTGGAGACACAGTGGAGGGACAGGTGATGGGGAAGCGCGCTAAGGCCAGGTTCTGGAAGAGGGATGTCCTGCCGCTGCTCCTTGGCTCAGAGGCAGAGGCTCTGGGATGGACACCAAGGCCAGACTTTTCTCTCAGGATCTGCCTGACTCTGCACTCATGTTTATGCAATCTTGGCAGAATTGTTCTCACAGATGCCCTCTGTTTTTCCCGTTGCCTCTAACTCCCACTCCTTGGGCGCTCAACTCCATCCTTTGAGTCTGAGGCCCCCCCAACACCCACCTTCCCCCCTCACCCCATCACTCACTCGTTCATGGAGCACAACCATCCTGTGCATGGATCCACCCATCCCTAAGCCCAGGTGCTCTCAGTGGGCCTGAGGAGGCACATGTGCCAAGGAAAACTCGAGCCAGCAATGACCCCATGTATTGACCCTGACTAGGCCACACCCTCCTTCCAATACTATACCCCAACTCAAACCTCTGTGGTGGTCCAAAGCGGGCTGGGCTGGGGCCAGAGCCTCAGGATCTAGCCCCAGCTCTGGTGTTAAGATTCTGCAAGCTGGGTGCGGTAGTGCACACCTGTAATCCCAGCACCTTGGGAGGCTGAGGCAGGAGGATTGCAAGTTCAAAGCCAGCCTCAGCAACTCAGGGAGACCCTGTCTCTAAATAAAATTTTAAAAGGCCTAGGGAGGTGGCTCGTTCATGGAGCACAACCATCCTGTGCATGGATATTATGTGCAACCCAGGTTCAATCCCCAGTACAAAAAAAAAAAAAAGAAAAGAAAATAAAAAAGAAAAATAAAAAGACTCTGGGTGCACTGCTTGGTCTTTTTCTGGGTCTTCATTTCCCATCTGCACAATGGGCATAACAGGAGTGGTACTGAGTGCTTCGAATCTCTAGGCACAGTGCCAAGTGCTCTTACGGATGATGCCATGTGGCTCTTCACTTACTAATTAATGAATTCACCCAGGAAAGCATTTATTTAGCCCAGGCCCCACAATCTAGAAGGCATTCCATAATACCATCTCTGTGTACAGACTAGGAAACTGATGCACAGATTAAATAATCTGCCTAAACCAATGGAGCCAGGTAGAGGCAGAACAGGGATTTAAGCCAGGTGGCCCGGCCCCTCAGTATTCAGGGACCCATAACTGTAGGAGTTTGCCACCTACCCAGGATCTTGTCCTGGGCCTGATGGTCCTGGAAGAGTTTTCAGAGAGGTCAAACAAGGTCAGAACAGTGAGAGCTAGGAGGTCCCAAAGACTGGGACAGCCGTTATTCCAAACACCAACAACTGACACAGCTGTGGCTACCCCTGGCTGGCTTCTGAAGGCCCACCAGCCACAGCCACCAGCCACAGCCACCAGCCAGGTGTTTTCCTCTGCAGAAGTTGGGGCCCTTCATCTCCCTGGAGGAGACTTGGGCTTTGGTGCTCATGCCCAGCACTAGAAGTTCTGCCCGACAGGTGGGGACTCTGGAGAGGGGAAGATGTTGTCATAACAACCAGGCTGATACCYCCCCCCACATGCTTGAATATAGCCAGGGCCTAAGGAAGGAGGGTATTAGCCCTATTTGTCATTTGGGGGAGCAGAGGAGAAAGRGGAGGGGCAGTAGTGGGTCTTGGGCAGAGGCCCAGGTCTGCACAGAATGCTGCGGCTGCTCACACTGCCCGTTTCCCTTCTGGGAGCTCCCTGAAGGCCAGGCCCCTTGGCTGTAGGTCCTCAGTCCCCTGCACAGGGCCAGACACAGAGGAAGGGCTCTGAGGAAGCTTCATTGAGTGACTGGCTGGGTGGCCTGTGCCAGCCTCCCCACTGTCTCTGTGCCTCCTGCCTCTGCTCCTTCCTCCATACCAAGGCCTCAGGTGTGGTTGAGCGCAGATATGATGCTGCCACTCCCCTGCTTAAACCCTCYAGGGCTCCCCATGGATCTGTCCGAAACGTCCCCACTCTTGCACAGGCATCCACGGCCCTTCCTTTTCTGAGTCCACCCATCAATTTCTTCCAGATCTTTTTTGCGATCCTGGGATTGCACCTGCTAGACGAGCACTCTACACTGAGCTACGTCCTCCCACCCTGCTGTCCCGCCACCCGCCTTTCTTCAATTTTGAGAAAGCAGCTCATTAAGTTTCCTAGGTTGGCCTCAAACTTGCAATCCTCCTGCCTTGGCTTCCCGAGTAGCTGCGATGACAGGCATGTCCCACTGCACCAGCCCAAATCTTTACATATGCTGTTCCCTGACTTGGAAAGCCCTTCCCACTCAAGTTCCGGTTTTCCCATCCATCCTTAAAGGTCTGGCACAAATGCAGGGCCCTTGGAGCCCTCTGGGACCCACTGGAGTGGGTGGTGTTTCCTTCCATCCTTGCAGGTACTACAGGGATCATTCTGCCCGTCAGCACCCCTGGAATTCCTGAGAGCTCTTTTCTTTGCAACCTCTCTTAATGGAGAGCTGGGGGCCAGAACTGACCCGCCTCCCGGGGCCAGGCCGTGCTGTAAGCTTATTGAGAGAATAATGTTCTACATCTGCCAACAGAAGGAGAAAGAGACATAGGCAGAGCTCCAATAGAGTGGGAGGGTTCAGAGGAGCAGGGACAGGTCTGCAGAGATGCAAAGGGCAGAGGCCCCGAGGGGCACAGTTACGCCAGACRCTGCCTCACCTGGCTTTTGTCCAGGCCCTCCTGGGCCACTTGGCTTGTGCAGCCGGCGTGGCAGGGCGTGATGTACTCCACTCGGGTGCTGGGGTCACAGACAGGGTTAAAGTCGTCCGACGGGCAGGAGCAGGGCTCTGCACAGCCTGGAAACAGCTCCAGCCCGGGCTGCGTGCTGATGGGGGAGAAGGACAGACGGCAGGGTTGGTCCAGCTCTCCTCCCTGGGTCACGAGCTGGAGCCACCCTGGCAGCTCCCTGGGAGCAATGGCCAGAGACCCGAGCTGTGGCTGGGGTTTCTTGCTGTTGGGTGACCCTGTAGAGGTGAGCTCCCGCAGCAGGGGGCGTGGGAGCGGGGAGAAGGATAAAAGTTCTTGAGGTCTCCTGACAGGAGAAGGGGGGAGTCTGGGCTGGAGGCCATGGAACCTCTTATCTGCCCTCAAACCTAAGCAAATATCTCTGCTCCTCAGGGGCCCTTCCCTAGGGAACGCAAGGGTAGCTCCTTCCAGAACTTAGTGTTAGATCAAGGGGCCATTCTCGCTGGGAGCTGGGTAGCTTCTTATTCTCAGAAAATGACAGCTCTACAGGGGGACTCATGGGGGACTTGACCAGCTGTGGGATCTCCAATGCCCCTGCCTCGCTCGGAGCCTCAGTTTCCCTGTCTGTCAGTGGGGCCGGGGCTCCTTCCTGCCCGTCACCCTCCCAGGCTCATGACCTCGATGCTCRCTCTACTGTCCTGATCACTGTGCCCAGCCCCATCTGCCTCCCTCCTGAGGGCCTGCTACCAAATCTCGGGGATGTCCCTACTCCAGGGGGTCAGGGCAAGGTGGGGGTATTCAGGGGCAGGAGGTGAGAGAAAGGCTGAGTCCATGGGGGCAGATCACTCTGGGAAGGGGACAGAGACAGGGAGATGTCTCCCTGGGATGCAGGCTATGGTCTGGCTTCATGGTAGGAGGGAGCATAGCACACCTGGCAGGAGAAAGAAGCCCAGAGAGGCTGATGCTTTGTATAGGGTCACACAGGAGGCCAGCATCGGCCAGGCTGCAGAGGAGGGAAGCAAGGGGAAGACTGGAGGTCCCCACCTTGGGTTTGGGGAGGGAGTGGGGCAGAGACCCAGGCTGATGGCAGGTCTGGCAAGTTTAGCAAAATCTCAGTTCCATGGAGAAGAGGAACTGACAGGGCTGGGGAGGTCAGGAGAGGAACAATGACTGAGATGGGCCTCTGGAAACCTGGGAGGGGGTTGCAGGGAGGTGCTATCAGGGCAGAGGTGAGCTTCTCCCTCCCATAGGTGGGGGTCTCCCCTGAGCCCAGGGGTGGGGGGGCATCGCCAACACAGCCCTTTCCTTCTCCTCCCTGTCCCACAGGCCTGCTCCCGTCCTGGCACGGCTCCTTTGGGAGGGGACACAGGTTGGTGCTATCCTGAGCCAAGCCGAGGACTCCTCAGGAGGCTGTGCCTATGGGAATCTGCCTAGGGGGAGGCACTTCCCAGAGCCATCTGCCAGCAGCTGGAAGGCTGAGCAGGTGAGAGCTGGTGGGGGTGGGGGCTTCCTCAGTTCCACCTCTCTCCTTGGATCTCATTGCTTCTGTGGGGAGAGTGCTGTCCCAGGCTTTGCCTTCTCCCAGTGGCTGGGTGATCTTGCCGCTCTGAGTCTCACTAAAATGGATAATACGGGGGCCCACTGCTGGGTTGAGTGGGAGACCCTTGACTCTTGGGAGCTGTCCCTGCCTCTTGTGAGTCATGCACAATGGTTCACATCTGTAGTCCCAGCAGCTTGGGAGGCTGAGGCAGGAGGATTGCAAGTTTGAGGCCAGCCTCAGCAATTTAGCAACTTAGTGAGGTTCTGAACAACTTAGCAAAACCCTGTCTCAAAAAAAAAAAAAAAAAAAAAAAAGTGGATGTGGCTCAGTGGTTAAGTGCCCCTGGGTTCAAGTCCCAGTACCAAGAACAAAAAAACATGAGAAGTTTGACTTGCTCAGTTGGTCCCTAAAAACTTCTTTAGTGACTTAGAACTCAGAACTCGGTGACTAAATTGCAAGAATGTTGATGAGAACTCTGGTGAGATCAGATGTCAAAGCCAAGGAGGGAGAGGAGAAGGAAGGAGAGAGKGCAGGAGGGAAGGGCTGACTTTCCCCAGTTACTTAAAAAAAAAAAAAGTGATAAAAATATTCATTTAAATATTAAAACAATTACTTTTTGCTATAAAGGAAATCATTGAAAGAAACTGGGTCCCTCCTCCATCAGGGGGTTTCCCACAGACACGGCTGCAGTGACCAGACTGGGCTCTGTACACTCAAGGCCCACGCCAGACAGCGAGCTGCCTCGCTGTTCTGTTTGAGAAAAGAAAGGAGAGAAGGAAGGGGAGCGAGAGAGGCCCGAGGACAGGACCTGGGATCCCTTGGCCCTGAGCAAGGCCCCGTGTAGCTGCCACCAAGTGGAAGAAGCCCCAGGTAAGGAAGGCTGGCACCTGGGTGCAGGAAGGAGATGCCAAGCAGGAGGCGGACAGGGGAGGTGGGGATTTCTTGCTGGGTGTTGGGCCAACCTAAGCCTGGAGCAGTTTCCAGGAAAAATGAGATCATTCTGGGACAGAGGCCGGAATGGAACTTCCAACAACCTCTCCAAGAAGGCTCCCAAGGGGAGGCAGGCACATGTGATGTGGGAGGGGGAGGAAGTAGGAGGGAGTGGGGGTGTGGGAAGAAGTGGGAGGGGCATAGGCATCAGGGATCTTACTGTGGAGGAGGGGGCAGTGCTGCCCCACAGACTTAGACAAAGACTTCTGCAATGCTAGGATCATGGGACAACAGAATTGTAGTTCCCAGGATCTAAGAACCAAGAATCTCAGAGACTTCCAGCCTTTCCATGCATAAGTCCCTTTGACAGCATCCTTGGTAGGGGCCATTGACCCTCATCCTCTCTCCCATCTTAGCCCAAGGGCAGGGCCTTGCTTCCTCTGGGCAGGCCTAACCTCTGGCTGGGAGCAAAAGCTTTCCTCTGGGTGAGCCAGGTCCTACCTCTTATGACATAGCCTTCACTCACTTACGCTGGCCCTGCAGGGCGCGGCCACTCTGGAGATGCCATTGCACCAGTGGCTTTGCCCCAACTCAGCCTGTAGCCCTCTCCAGGCCTGAGCTTCCCTGGCCTTGAAGTTCCATCTGGGCCCCTTTTAATGGTGCCTGCTGCCTTCCCTGGAGCCTTCCACAGAGAATGTCCTGTGCCTGAACCTTAGCCCAGGGAGGGGCTGGAATGGAGGATTCTGGGGCAGAGGTGGAGAGACGGAGCTACAGGGAGGTGAGAGTAAGGTAAGGGATGCCCCACTGACCTGGCTTCTGCCAGGTCCACAGCCCTCCCCGTCCCAGCCTCCCCGCGCTGGCCCTCACCCCCCCTGCACACACACCCACCTGGGCTGGTGGATGATGCCTGCAATCTGGTGGGTAGAGCAGCCAATGAAGAAGAGGGGCAGGTTGAAGAGCAGGCAGAGCAGCGACCCCAGCAGGCAAAGGGCACCACAGCGCATGGGGCCCAGGTGGAGGCGCTTGACCAGGACGCCCCCCACCACGATGCCCACGATGGCTGAGGGGATGGTGAGGCCCCCAATGAGCAGGTTGGCATARGAGGCTGTGATGGAAAACTGGCGCTCCAGGAACTTAGGCAGGAAGGTGGCCATGCCCGCCACCATGCACGACATGCACACCTGGGACAGGACCACCAGCAGGAAGATGGGGTGGCGCAGCGTCCGCAGCAGCACCCTGGGGAAGACTGTTGGGTAAGTGGGAAAGAGGTGGGCATGTGCAGGCCGGCTCTCTACACCCTGTGCCTGTCCATCCCCTCCTGTTCAGTTCAAGCCATTCTGTTCCTTTCCATTCCTTCCGCCCATCCCATTCCATTTAATTATTTTGCATTCATTTCTGATCTATTGCATTTGACTCCATTCCATGTAATTCTATTCCAGTTTTGAAATTCTGTTTCATTCCTTCCATGCCTTTGAGTTAGATTGCATATTATCCAATGTGTTCATTTCCATTAAATTCTATTCAGTTCCRTACAGTTCTGGTCCATGCCACCCCTTTAGATTTCATTTCATTATTTACTCCATCTGATCCCATTTCATTCTTTCAATTCTACTTAATCATCCCTTTTCCCCAGCTAGGCCCCTTCCATCCTGTCCTGCTGTAGCTCTTTCCAAACTGACCCAGACCTAGTCCTCCCTCCTGGGTCCCCAACCCAAGCCTGCATCCCTAGTTTCTCCAGAACATTTTGCCTAACAGATTACACATTTTCTTAATTTAACTGTTTTATTGTCTTCCCAACCTGTTTTTTTAAGATCAGGTTTTTATTGTTGTTGTTGTTGTTGTTGTTTTGTTTTCTAGACTGTTGTGTTAATTACTGATCCTCCAGAGCGGGGGCACAGGAGGCACTCAATACACAAATGAAGAATGAATGAAGAAGTGAAGGAATGACGATGAATATGTGTTCAAATATCAAAATGTCTGGGGCCGAATCTAAGGCCTCTAGAGAAGGTGAAAGCCTAGAAGGCGTAGTACTGGGAGGCTTCCTGGAGTTGGGACAAACCTAGAGGGGTCCTGGAGAGGCAGACTCTGAAGGAAAAAGAATTCTGTAGAAGCCCAGCATGGCCCAAGCTTGGAGCGTGGAACAGAGGCGGCCGCTGGGGCACCGATGACTCTCCTGCCCCCATCTCCTGTCCCTAAAAACAGTGCTTTGCCTCACTGCAGGTCTGCTAACCTGCGTGGAACACAGGGATGGATAAGTCCCTTGCCCTCTGAGGTCCAGTGCCCTTATCAATAGGGGCAGCCCAGGGAACATCCAAAGGCACTTTCTGTGTTCACATGTTCCCCTCTCCACTCTCAGCAAAAGAGGGAGAGCCATGTTTCTACCTGCAGCAGGCAAGACTGAAGTTAGAAAGGGGTGAGGGAGGAAGAGAAGCAGAGCATTTGCCAGGCTGCGGGGCCAAGCCAGCTGGTGCCCTAGTGCCTTGGGAGGGGAGAGGAGCTGTTTCCTTAGAAGCCAGGAAATAAAGAGAGATGGTCCAGGTGGGGTGGGAGGGGGCCAGGGCTATGGAATTCCCCCTCTGCGCAAAGCCTATCCAGCCAGTACTTGCAGTGCAGCAGCATGGCCTGGCCTTCACCCCAGGTGGCTGCTGGGCCTCTCTCCCTCCCTCCCTCCCTCCCTCCTGTGAGCTGCCTGGCTGGGGCATCTGAGGTCCTATATGTGCCAGGGGATTTTTGCTATGGCTTGACCCAAGTTATACAGACTCAAGTTATACCTTCACTGCAAGGTGGGGCCCAGCAAGGGGCAGGGACACGCCCAGGCCCAGGTTCAACCAGAGCAAGGCCAGGAATTCCCCAGAGTCCCCTGACTCCTACTGCAGTGCCATTCTCCCTGGATCCCCTCCTCCCTCCCGCTCCACTCCTAGCCTCTCTGGCAGCCTGACTTCAGAGAGTTCCATCCACTGATGGTTTCTTGCACTAATCACTGCAGTGAACTATAGGCACATCCTCCATCTCAGAACCCACAGCCGTCTCCAGAACAGATGGAAAATTCCTGGAGGACAGGGCTTTGCCTTTCACTCAGCACTACCTGAAAGGGAATTCTAGGGCCTGCCTCCGGCTCAAAGGCAAGCCTTCCTGAAAAGACAGGGCTTCCCTCAGCTCAGTACATGGTCTCTACCCCCAGACACACCAGGGCAGAGAGTCACTCGGTGACAAAGCCAGGGGCCTCTCTCAACTCAGAGGCCTGTACCTGCCTCAAATAGGACAGGCCCACTCAGTTTAGGACCGATCCCATGGGCCAGGGGCTTTCTTTAACCCAAGGACAATGTCTCCCTCATTAGTCAGTCTCCCCCAGCTCAGGAACCTCGTATCCTCCATCAGTCATCCCCCATGATTCCAGGTGGTCAAGGCCAAGCTGTGGGTCAGACTAGCCCCTGTGGAGCTCAGTAGAAGCCCAGAAACCAGGCTGGCTAACTGGCCACAGGGCCCATGGTCAGCCCTGTCATGGTCTCCTGCAGGCTCATGTAGAAGCTTAAACTACCAGAGACAAGCTGGCCTAGAACCCCAACCCTAGGATTCAATTTCAGCAACTGGCTCCAACTTCCCTCTGGGCAGGAGCCAAAGCAGTAATTAATAAGCTCTTCCATGGTGCAGTGTGCTGAGGGCTTCCAGCAGCTGGGGATGACCTGAGGTTAGGGAGTCCAGGCCCCTGCCTCGAGGCTCAACCTCATGGAGTCCAGGCATCGCTTTCCCTGGGAGTGCTGGAGATCAGGGATTGGGGCTGGGGGCTAGATTACTAATACCCCCAACATCCAGTCTTAAGAAGCTCTTCCCAAGGATTGGGCCTAATTCTTCCCTGTTGAAAAGTCCCAAGTGAGGGATTATGAATGACACCATCCTGAACCACAGGCAGCTCCATTTAATCTTCTAGGGTTTGGTCGTAATAAGAACTATAGGGTAGGAGTGGTGATGGGAAGAATTGTTCCTTTTGGAAGTACAGTTTTTAAAACAACGTAGAGGGACTTTCCATTTATCATCCCATTTGATTAGGGCTATCATCCTTGAGAGTGGCAAAGATTACTGACCCAATCTTTCAAATGAGGAAACTCAGGGAAGGAAAGGAACTCTACTAGACTGTACACTGGCTAGTGTGGTGGGCCGGCCTCAAGTCCAGGTTGTCTGACTTGCCATCCAGGGCTCTCCCAGAGCCTGCCACACAGCAGGCACTCAATCAGTGTTCATGGGGTTGGACTCTTTAGAAAGGACTGCCTGGTCTTTTGTGGACTCTGGTGATGGGATTGATCCGAGCTACATTATTCTTATCTCATTGAGTCTGAGTCTTACTGTATTGAGAAATTGCATGGAGGACACTGAAGCCCAGAGAGAAGCAAGGACCCAGAATAAAAGCTCAGGTCTCTAGATCTTAGCCCAGATCTCCCTCATCAGCCTAGGACTTTAACAAGTATTTACTGAGGCCCTGTTTGCAGGCTCATTGGTGGGTGGGAGAGGAAGAGCTCAGGCCTTGACCTTCAGAGACTCCTCACTTAGGGGAAGGGCTGGATAAGTACATGGCACAGATCTGAGCTGATACAGAAGCTCTGAGGGTTCTGAGAGCCCAGAGGAGGGAGGGAAGCAGCCTTGCTTGCTAGAGAGCCAGGCATGCTGAAGCAAAGAGTGGCTCTTGAGCTTGACCTAGAGGGACAAGAAAGATTTTGACAGACAGCAATAAAAGCAGATGTTCTGGGCAGAGAGCAGAGACTCACAAGATGTTCCCAGCCAAGACTCAGAAGGAATGTGTGGTGCTCATGACAGGCCTGCAGGAATAGAAGGTGAATGGAGATAGGCAGGTAGGGGTTGGGTCATGCATGGTCCTCTGGCCCTGCCTCCCTAGCACCTGGCCTGAACTCACTCACCTTTGATGAACTTGATCACAGACAGGTTTGGTGCAATCTGGACTAGGCCATCCTGCTTCTTCAGGGACTCCCCAGGGTTCTGCTCAGAGGGAGAGTTCTCACCCTGGGGAAACATACAATCAAGGGTAGCCAGCTGGATGCCAGAGATCCTACCCAGAGATGGCTTTGGACTCAAGGAAGATCTGGGAGGGTGGGGAGAGAGGAAGCTCTGTCACTTTATCAGACACAATGGAGGCCAACAGTGTTCCATTTGTTCTTGGCCCTATAGGTACTCAACAGAGGGTTTTAAGAGAGGGAATAATGGCAGGGTGGTTGGCACACATCTGTGATCCGTGTGGTTTGGGAGGCTGAGGCAGGAGGTTTGGAAGTTCAAAGCCAACCTCAGCAAATTAGTGAGGCTCTAAGCAATTTACAAAGACCTTGTCTCTAAAATAATAATAAAATATGAATACTAATAAAATATGAAAAAGGGCTGGGGGTATGGCTCAGTGGTTAAATGTCCTTGGATTCAAATTCCTATAGCTAAACTTTGTCATCACCATCATTAGCATATTAATAGTCACCAACTCGACCATGAAAATTACCACCATAACTATCATCAGTATTATTCCTGTTACCTTAAAAATCGTCCCAAATCATATCTTCAATATCCTGAATACATGACCAGTTGATTCGAAATGATACTATCATTACAACATGATTATTACTACCATTGTCTCTGTCATAGTTCCCACCATCACCAGCACAACAATTGGGATTGTTATCACCGTCACCTGAACCAATATGATTATCAGAATCATCAAGAACATGATCACTGTCTTGAACACCATCATTATCTTTGCCAGGGTCTTCACCAGTATCAGTGTCACAAACCTCATCTTCATCACCACCACCCATATCACCACCAATGTCACCAGGAACACCGTCAACTCACGATCCTGTCATCATCACTACTCTCACCACCAATTATCTCCATTCCTCACATCATTATTAATGTCACTCCTACTGCTGCCATCAATGGTGTCACAGCTACCCCAACACCACCATCATCTGTGTTGCTCTCACCATTAAAATCTTTTCCACTCCCACCACCATCAGCTTCACCAACATGATGACAACCATATCTCTCTCTTCAGTTATTATGTCATTCATGACTGTCAATCACCTGGACAGTCACCAGGAGCAAGCACCTCCAGTGAGCTGGGCTACCATGAGGTGGGGATGGTGTGGGTTTCCGGGCCCATCCTGTTCTTTACCGTCTTCTGGGGCAGAATGGGAGCTGGAGGGTTAGGACAAGAGAAAACAGCCCCCTTTTCTCCCTGGGAAGAGTCAAGCCACCCCTGGAGGATGTGCTCAGCTCTGGGCCAACGCTGTGAGGATGCCCACCGACACCACGGAGAAGGAGCCTCAACCTGGACAAGGATGGCCTCCATGCAACTCCTGAAGGAGAGGGCCGGGGAAGAGAAGGCTTGTGTGGGTGGGCACAATCACCATTTTGGAAGGAAATAATAATAAACAGTGGTTAATGCCTATGACTTGCTTGCTCCATGCACTGACTACACAGTTTTAAGGACTTGCACAGAACTCACGGTGCCCTCCCCACAGCTTTCGAAGTAGATGCCATGAAAAGCCCTTTTATTCACATGACCAAACAGACACAGAGATGAAGTAACTTTCCTCAAGTCACACCACTAGAAAGTGGCCCACCTAGTGTCAAACCCGGACAGACAGCTCCACTCCAGAGTCTGAGCTCTGAGCTGCTACAGCCTGCAGGAGGGAGGCAGCCAAGGCCGCTGAGGCCCGGGTGATTCTCCTGCATCCCAGCCCAAACACTGTGAGGCAGGTGCTATCACTATGCACACTTTTTAGGTGAGGAAACTAAGTCTTGGAGAAGTTGGTACTGATACAGGGTCATTCGAAAGTCTAAGTGATGTTCCGCTATGCAGCGTGAGCTCGGAATGAGAAGGAACCAATTCTATGGAAGACTATGTAAAGTCCATAATAAAGAATAATTTGGAAGAGGCTGCCCTGGGAGCCAGTCAGCTCTCCATAACTAGGAGTGTGGTCCAGGAGGCTGGGTGCCATCAGGCGGGTGGGCTGGACTCCTCAGGTTTTCCCTCTTGTCTCCCTGAGTTCCCTTCAGACCTGGCCACCCTTTGTCAGGGTCTGACATCTTTCTTCTCTGTATTTTTAGTGGACCTCATGAGGCAAATGCTGGCTCTCCCCACATTTCAGAATCCTGTAGGGATGGCCAGCATCCTCACCCTCGCCTTGCTCCCTGGGCTGGCTGCTAAAAGCCTGTCCTGTCCCTGCAGGGCGATTCATTCAAACCTTCATTCCTTCTGTTCCTCTCCCCAGGGGTTTCCCTGGCTCCTCCCTTCTTTCATTCCAGCAGGGAGCAGGCTTTGGGTTTCCTGGCCTCAGGGGACTTTTGTGGCAAGGCAAAGAGCACTAATGAGTTGCCAGGTTTTGCCTCCTAGCTTTTGTTTTCAAAGCTTGAGGCCATTAGGAGAATTCTGTGGGTTGAAGCAGGGGGTGTGAGGAGAGGGAGGCCTGGGAGAGTGAGCAACAAAACTCTGGAAACCAGGCTGCAACAGACACTGAGCCCTCTTTGGGTTCTGTAAGAAGTTGGGAGCCACCCTCAGAGATGAGGCCCAGGGAGGCAGGTCACCTCTGAATACCAGGCTACAGGATGCCCTAGGGAGGTTGGGCCCCTGTGGTCCCAGCCACACAAGACTCCTCTGCTCCAAGCACACTGATAGGTACCATATGGGTCAAGATGGCAGGTGGGCATGGCTGTAGTGACATGGGTGGTGTGGGGCCTACCTGGAGCCTGGGCACTAAAAACCTCAAGAACTTTGCTTCAACTTGGTGGGAGATCCTTGAGAAGGCTGAGGTTTAGTTTTTGGCAGATCTGGCAGTATAGGCCTTTAGAGTAGAAGTTATGTTGATTCTTAGAGAAAATAAATAATACCTGCTTATCACTATGCACAGTAGCACCCTATAAACTGTGACTCGGGAGGCTGAGGCAGAAGAATAGCAAGTTTGAGGGCAGCCTGGGTAACTCAAAAAAGAAAAAAGGTTAGAGATGCAGCTCAATGGTAGAGCACCTCTGGGTTCAATACCCAGTACAGGACCAAGAAAAAAAAATCTACTTTATATACACTTAGGTCTGGGTCAAACCTTGCTCTGTGTCTATCTTCCCTGCTGGACTCTGAGCACCATAAAAGCAAGAATCATGTTTATCTTGTTCTCTGTTGAAACCCTGGTTCCTAGCACAGGGCCTGGGGCAAAACAGTGAGCATCAGACAAATTCCCATTAAAAGAAGGAGTATAAGAGACAGCTCCAGCCAGCATTGCCAGGTTCTTGGAAGAATAATGAGAACATCAAGAGGAGATGCACATGCTGGGAGGGAGCTCTAGCACTGTGATGTTCAGAGACCAGCAAAGGGTTCCCAGAGCACCCCCAGGGGCTAGCAGAACTGAGATTCAGGCCACAGGGATGTGGACCAAGGGCTTCATGTGCATAAACCTGCTCCATCTTCTCTGAGACCTGCAGAAGGAGCCGGACACTTCTTCACATGTGAGCAAACAAGCTCTGAGATTAGGTGACTTGTTCAACAACACACATTTTGAAAGCAGCAGAACTAAGACCTGAGCTCCAGCTTGCAGGTAGGAAACTCATGTTTTCTCCTCTAAATCCTCTGAGTCAGCTAGCTGCCCTGGTCAGGACGGCAGCATTAGGAGACATCTTACTAGTATGATTTTTTTTTTTAGTTGTTAATGAACCTTTATTTTATTTATTTATATGCAATACCAAGAATCAAACCCAGTGCCTCACACATGCTAGGCAAGTGCTCTACCGCTGAGCCACATCCCCAGGCCCAGTAGTATAATTTGAAGGGGCCTGAAATCTCATCATTGAAATTTTCTTCGGGTGAGACACCTGGACCTATTCACTTATACCTTAGAGCCACATCCGGCTGCTAAGCACCTAAAATATGGCAAGTTCAAATTGAGATATGTCCTAATTGTAAAATACTCATTATATCTTGAAGACTTAGTGTCAACAATGGAAAAGACTTCATTATTTTTTTATATTGGTTATATGCCCAAATTAGAATATTTTAGATATTATTCTATATACTATAGAAAAATGTTATTAACATTAATTTCTTTTACTTTTGAGTGTGGCTGTTAGAAAATTTAGAATTAGGGGCTGGGATTGTGGCTCAGTGGTGGAGCACTGACTGGGTTTGATTCTCAGCACCACATACAAGTAAATAAAATAAAGGTCTGTAAACAACTAAAAAGAAAAAAGAAAATTTAGAATTATATAAGGTGGCTCCTGGGTATTTCTTTTGGCCTTGTTCTTGCGATGGGAGAGTGGCCTGGGAAGGACACCACGGTGGAGCCAGGTGCTGCCCAAGGAAGGAAAGAGGAGAAGCTGGAGAGAGACTGAGAGCTTTCCAACATTCTTATCAGGGTGATTTAGGCTTATCCTTGAAAAACAAGCAGAATCTTGGTGAGTTCCTCATCTCCAGGTGAATAGTAAAAATATCAGTAGTGTCATCTGTTCCCACATGTACATCCTTATAAGGTCTACACAGTCACATCCACCATGTCATGAAATTCCCACTAGAGCCTATTTGATGTAGGCATCATTTGTTTACCCTCTTTACAAGGGAGAAGTCTGAGGCCCCCAAAGAGAAATGTCACCACAAGTTATTGGTAGATCAGGCTCTCAAAGCCAGGCTTTCTCGTATCCCTGACTCTTGTTGTGAAAAAGAGCGTGGGGTGTGAAGACCAGAAGGGAGGGACTGATCTGGGGGGCCAGGGAAGGCAGAAGGAGTTGGTAGGAAGGAGTTGGGTTGGGACTGGGTAGAAGGAAGGGAGAGGTGATTTGAAGCAGGGCTTAGTATAAACTAACGTATGGTAGTGAGAAGAAGCCTGTATGGGGGCAGGCAGTTGGGACACCAGCCTGATTACAGCAGGTGACTAGCTGGGCAGCAACTTGGGGCTAGAGAGGGACTGGGGCCAGATCTTCCAGGCTTGGGGCCAGACTAAAGGATTGAGCTTTATTCTGTGACTATCAGGAGCCCT